CACACAAAATGGCTAGATTATGAGTAACACAATAATTTGTGTCAAGTATATTTATTTGATCTAAATATCAACTACATTGAAAGTGAAGAATTACTACAGAGTATTGACTCAGTTTCCAGCCTCAATTAATTATAGAGAAGGAAGATTGGACATGGTGCTTAAAGGTTTTCTCTGTCTCATCTTCACCCGGAAACTTGAATCTTAATTCCATAAGATGTGATTAGACTGACCGCACTGGATGGTACCAAGTGTTAAATGTACACTGATGTGGACAACAAATGTCTTCAGTTACGCAATTAAGTGATGATCAATAGTATATCATTCAGGAATTACCTCCAACCATGCACACACTGACGTAGAGTGCAATGAACACGAACAATATTGAGAAAGGAAAGAGGAAGAGAGAGAAAGAGGAAGAGAGAGGAAAAAGAGAAGAAGAGGGGGGTATAGAAGGAGGGGGGATAGAAAGGGTAGAAGAACCAGATGGATGGAAGCAGAATTTTGGAGAGAGGAAGTATCTTTATTTAATTCATCAAAGTTGTATATATTACAATGCATAAGCCCCCTTTATAAAAAGGTTTAAAATAATTCTACTTAAAAGTAGGAAAATACTATAAAATCTATGAATTTAAACCCTAATTATGTTTCCTAAAATAAGCATCAAAATTGGAAATTAAATTAAATAGCATGTGTCTGGCCGTGATTTCCATCCAATGCCAAATCGATTAATGAACCGTTGCTACTGCAACATGGGTCCCAGATTGCCAACAAATTCTGACTTCCTAAAAACAAATGTCGAGAGTGCCCTTTACTCATGCAAAATGATTTAAATGCTAATGGCAAAAAGGTCATTTTGCCATGAAATGACCTTTTGTTCTAGCTGCCATGCCAGAGTTCCTGCAGAATAATTGAAAGGCAACAGTCCATTTTCTCCTTATCAACGGTCCAATTTTCTCTCTTAAGTGTGGCCAGACACACGCATAATATCTATGCTAATATTCTCATCACACATGTTAGCTAGCGCGAAAGCGTTTGTGAAATTCTTGTAATAAGAATTATGTAATACACTAAGAAGGATATTAGAATAACTTGCTTGTATGTTATTGAATAATAATTAATGTGATAAAAAAGTGTACAATGCCTCTATATTTATAGGCAATATTATTTTCTACTTCTACTAATATTAGGAATTAAAATAGGGAAACTAAAATCCTAATCTAAAAGAAATTAGAAATCTGATTCTAAACGAGAAATAAGAATTAAAAGATAAAACCTATTAGAACTAAAAATCTTAAATATCCTATTATAAATAACTAACTTTTATCGTATTTATAGTAGGATTGTTCTACATCATTAGTTGTTATCCATTAACACAATCTGGTGCTTTAGATCCACTCGTAGATATTAGCATATGATCCTGAAAAAGAGTCTGACTTCTTCCTATCTATATAGACCAAGTTATGATCATCATGGCTGACTTCCACAAATTTTACCATCCTTGCTACTTCCAAAGACGCAAAATTTATAGACAAGATGACAGTGTAAAGATGTCTTTTGCAAGTATGAAAAGTTGAAAGAAAAAATGAAAATGTACTTGAGATGATAAAGATAATGCTGGAAGAGGATAAATTAGAAAATCAATTTACCATGTTCTGTTGGCATTGGAAGAGACCAATGGACACACCAGTTCGGGTATCAAATATGAGTGGAAAGCCAAGGATAGGATATGAGGATCCACAAATGCACAAAGTTCTTTCATCGAGTCTCTAATTCCAACTCGTAAAATAATTCTATTACATTGTTGGAGGTATATGGAGTTACGTATGAGAACCCACAAGTTACTGTGACTCAGCAGGTGAGATTCTATCAGAATCTCTTTCGGGAGCAGTTTGTGTGGAGGCCT